TTCCCCTTCCCCACCACTCCCTGCTCTCTCTTAGAGGCCAATTTTGTTAATTAAATGTTTTGTTTGCGACGCGGCTCTCATTCATTTCGGACACGTCATTCCGAGCAGATCTAAGCCAGGGACCAGATCTCATTAGATAAAACCTATCAGAACTAGGAGAAAATGGAGGAGACACTAATTAAAGCTTTTAATTGTGCGGATTCGCTGCCACGCTGCTGCTCTATCTGGCATCGCAAGGTTGGGAGGGCTGCGCTCCGCTCCCCTCCCTGCAAACGCGCTGCTCGCGGTGGGGAGGGAGGGAGGGGAAGGGACCAGGATTTTCGCCTCCCTCTCTTTTCCCAGGAACCTTGGCTTTCAATGAAAGCTGCCGCTGTAAGCTCTACGGCTAATTTGTTGTCGGGTTTTGAGGGGAGGGAGGGAAAGGGGAGTGTTGTGTTGTTTAAACAACAACAAAAAACCACATACAACCTCAGACGGTTAAAAAAGCTCATTAATAAATGGCCCCGTGGTCTTGGCCCGGAGGAGTCAAGTCCCTTTCACCTGGCGCCTACCGGGCTGATCGATCCTCTTTCTCATTTTGTCAGTCGTGTCTAGCGTGCCCCCGCGTCTCCGATTAAGAACTGTGCCCGTGGCTCTTGCCTGGGGAAGGGAATGTGCCACAGCAAAAAGCCCTACAGAAAATTACGAGGGGGGATGGCAGAGGGGAACCGGAGAGACTCGCTGCCAAATGGATGGCATCGCCTCCGCAACCAAATGAGGCCATTTCAAGCAAGAAAAGGGCGAGGGCCTCGCTCATGCCAGCGCGACCCACGTGGAAGCCTACGAAGTCCACTTCCAGCGGGAAAGCTGCAAGCTAACTCAGCCCTGGCAGGGCCAGGCTGTCCTACCCCACCTTGAGCGTACGGTGTCCAGTTCAAGTTTCAGAAAGCATCTGTCAGAGTTATTTTTGCAAGTCAAATTACACAGATCTAAAGAGAAGTCAGGCGATAGAACAAGGAGATCAATTCAAACCCCTCATCTGATAAAGCATCCTATTCATAATCGCCTACATTAAAATAAACGAGTATTAATTTTTGGCAACACAAAACCAGAGGGCTGCGATAAGCTTGCCTGAACTTGCCTCTGGGATACAGTGGATGCATCTTCTCTTTTTAATTAGTAGTAATCAGACATGAGGGTTTGTTTGATGGTGTTGGTCGAATGATGAATCTGTACTATTCAGTGCATCTTAACAGTAGTGTCAATTTTTCCACTTCACACGAGACTCCCTAACACCGTTCTGCTCTATTTAATTACAATTCTGCCAGGCTTAGGCTTGTTGCTTAGGACGATGACCGAAAAGCACCATTAAAAACCCCCCCATGCGCTGATTTTCTAGCATTTCTCTCTAAAAATACCCCCAAAACTAGCAAAGCTAAGGCTCCCATTC